TAATATTCTAAAATAATAATTAATAATAATAAATAATAAAATAATAAACTAATAATTAATTCGTTCTATAACAATATTTTTTCTGGAAGTTTTTATATGAGCCACTTACCCTTATATAATAAAATATACAACAGCAAATTAATAAAAATTTGAGATCGGAAATGATATAATTTTTGCAAAAATAAAGAATTTAGTCATTACATATTTATTTATTTTGAACAAGTTTGTAATTCATTATAATTAAAAAAAAACAAAATCTCATTCTTCTATATTAGTATAATGTTTTTTAGGGTGTGCAATGGACCGGGTCAAACCTAATAATTTGCAGTAGTGCTCTCCATTGAGCTGGCTCAATTAGGCTCACAGGAATTTTGGTCTAGCTTGTTTCTGGCTTGAAAGGCTCACAAGCCTGTAGTGCAAGTCACGTGACTTTTTATCACTTTTCACGTGACTTTTTGGGAAAATCAGAATATTTTGGGCACGTGAAAATCACGTGAAAATCACGTGACTGTATAACCTTGTGTAACTCAATCTCTATGATTAATTAAGCTGCAGATTACGTCAAACTGATACCCCTTTTAAATTTTTATTTTCAAAGTTTTAAACCTTATACAGTAGAATATCTAAATCTTACTTATACAGTATATGAGTTTTTAGTATGAGTATAATCATTTGTTGAAAGTTCTGAACTTTATATAGAGTATTTGAATCTTACTTATATATGTATTTTTTTTATTGAGAATTGGTTGTAGCATGAGTATGATAATTATTTATTGGAAGGTCTGAACCTTATAGAATATTTGAATATGTATTTTTTTTTTCATCAGGATTTAGTTTTTAGCATGAGTGTGATAATTATTCGTTGAAAGTTTTGAACCTTATAGAATATTTGAATCTTACTTATATATGTATTTTTTTTTTCTATCGAGAATTAGTTTTTAGCGTGAGTATGATGATTTTTCATTGAAAGTTTCGAAACATATAGAATATCTGAATCTTACTTATATATGTATTTTTTTTTTCATCGGGATTTAGTTTTTAGCATGAGTGTGATAATTATTTGTTGAAAGTTTTGAACTTTATAGAGTATTTGAATCTTACTTATATATGTATTTTTTTTCATTGAGAATTGGTTTTAGTGTGAGTATGATGATTATTCGTTGAAAGGTCTGAACCTTATAGAATATCTGAATCTTACTTATATATGTATTTTTTTTTTTTATCAGGAATTAGTTTTTAGCGTGAGTGTAATGATTATTCGTTGAAAGTTTTGAAACTTATAGAGTATTTGAATTTTACTTATATATGTATTTTTTTTTCATCGGGATTTAGTTTTTAGCGTGAGTATGATTATTATTCGTTGAAAGTTTTGAAACTTATAGAATATCTGAATCTTACTTATATATGTATTTTTTTTTTCATCAGGATTTAGTTTTTAGTGTGAGTATGATGATTACTTGTTGAAAGTTTTGAAACTTATAGAGTATTTGAATCTTATTTATATATGTATTTTTTTTTCATCGGGGTTTAGTTTTTAGCATAAGTATGATTATTATTCGCTGAAAGGTCTGAACCTTATAGAATATCCGAATTTTACTTAAATATGTATTTTTTTTTTTTCATCGGAAATTAGTTTTTAGCATGAGTATGATGATTTTTTATTGAAAGTTTCGAAACTTATAGAATATCTGAATCTTACTTATATATGTATTTTTTTTTTATCGGGATTTAGTTTTTAGCGTGAGTATGATTATTATTTGTTGAAAGTTTAAAACTTATAGAATATCTAAATTTTACTTATATATGTATTTTTTTTTTCATCTGGAATTAGTTTTTATTGTGAGTATGATGATTGATTATTCGTTGAAAGTTTTAAAACTTATAGAGTATTTGAATCTTACTTATATATGTTTTTTTTTCATTGGATTTAAGTTTATCACAAGTATAATGGTTATTAATTGAAAGTTTTGAAACTTATAGAATATCTAAATCTTACTTATATGTATTTTTTTTTTTATTGGGATTTAGTTTTTAGCATGAGTATGATGATTATTCGTTGAAAGGTCTGAACTAGAGTTGTTGGTGAAAGTGGGTTAAACTTGGTAAAACTGTGTGAAACTAGTGACTATCTAAAATCTAATTGGCTGGTGAATGCAATAGCCAATCAGATTTTAGATAGTTACTAGTTTTACCAGTATGATTTAGTTTCACTAACAAGTCTAGTCTGAACCTTATAGAATATCTGAATCTTATATATATATATTTTTTTTCATCAGGAATTGGTTTTTAGCGTGAGTATGATGATTACTTGTTGAAAGTTTTGAAACTTATAGAGTATTTGAATCTTACTTATATATAATTTTTTTTTCATCAGGAATTGGTTTTAGCGTGAGTATGATGATTACTTGTTAAAAGTTTTGAACTTTATAGAGTATTTGAATCTTACTTATATATGTATTTTTTTTTCATCGGAATTTAGTTTTTAGTGTAAGTATGATTATTCGTTGAAATATTTGAACCTTATAGAATATCTGAATCTTACTTATATATGTATTTTTTTTTCATTGGGATTTAGTTTTTAGTGTGAGTATGATGATCATTTGTTGAAATGTCTGAACCTTATAGAATATTTGAATCTTACTTATATTTGTATTTTTTTTTCATAGGAAATTGGTTTTATGATGATTATTTGTTGAAAGGTCTGAACCTTATAGAATATCTGAATCTTACTTATATTTGTATTTTTTTTTTCATCAGGAATTAGTTTTTAGCTTGAGTATGATAATTATTCGTTGAAATGTTTGAACCTTATAGAGTATTTGAATCTTACTTATATGTGTATTTTTTTTCATTGGGAATTGGTTTTTAGCATGAGTATGATAATTATTCATTGAAAGGTCTGAACCTTATAGAGTATTTGAATTTTACTTATATATGTATTTTTTTTTTATCGGGAATTAGTTTTTAGTGTGAGTATGATGATTATTCGTTGAAAGTTTTGTACCTTATAGAATATTTGAATCTTACTTATATGTATTTTTTTTTTCATCGGGAATTAGAGTATGATGATTAGCGTATCACTAAGGATAGGCAAATCGAAGATTTTTTGTATATATAATTAATTGTTTATTTATTTATGATAGTTAAATAAACAGTTATCAAGTTTATTGCATATACTTAAAATTTGCAGTTGTATATATATTAATCGCTTCGCACGTATCCTTATTGCTATTTTTAATAAGCAGTTATTTCTTGTTATTTAATGGATATCTGTGGATATGGTATATTCCACAGGATAATAGTAAAATCACATGGCTGAAGGCCACATGGTTTACTATTATTCTGTGAAATGCACCGTATCCACAGATATCAATTAAATAATCAAGTTTATTGCATATGCTGTTTGATGTGCATACATATTAATTGCTTTGCGTATATCATTACTTAGGGTGCTAGAAGTCTAGCCCAGTTCTTAAAAAGTCTGATTATGAATTAGCCAGATAAATAATTACTATATAATGTTTATGATCTGAATCAATTATCTTGTTATTAGATCAATACTCTCTTCATAGCAGGGACAGTAAATACTTCCATTTTGATATAGATTAACCAATCAAAATTTGTATCTGGAGATAGATACAAGTTTTGATTGGTTAACCTATATCGGAATGAAAGTATTTACTGTCTCTGCTTTATAGCACTCCTCTTTACTGTATAAACTTTTAGATAAGCTATACGCTATTATATAATATGGTATAAATAGGTTCTTTTTTTTCAAAATAGAATCTTTAGTCAATTTTTTGAATAATATAATTTCTTATAAAAAAACTATAAATACAAATGAATAGTCAAACTTATATATGATTTGTCAGGAAAATATTTGCCCTAGTCTTAAAAAATCAATAACTATTTTAACCTGTAAACATTTTTTTCATAAGGATTGTATCGTGAAATATATCAATGATTTTGGTGTTTGTCTGCTCTGTCGAGCAGATAACATGCAAGGTTAATTATCAAATCATTTAGCTTAAAAAATTAAAATTTTCAATCGTTTTATAATCTCTAAATAATTTGGTTTAGCAAAATAATTTATACATCTATTAACTATAGTAACTGCACCGGGCACTCTGCTGCACACTACACTACACATCACGCCACGCACCACACCACCCATCCCACCACACATCACACCATACACACCACGCACCACACCATACAACACGCCACGAACCACACTGCGCATCACACCAGACATATACATTGCACTACCCATCCCATCGTGCACTACATCATCTATCCTACCGCGCACCATATCATACAACACGCCGCGAACTACACTGTGCATCACACCAGACATATACATCGCACTACCACCTTGCACTACACCACCCATTTTACCATGCACCACACCATTCATTTCACCGCGCACCACACCATACAACACGCCGCGAACTACACAACACACCTCGCCTGATTTGGGATTAAAATTTTAATTTGAGTTTGCGGAGTACTAGTTTTATCATGAGTATAATGGTTATTAATTGGAATTCTGAACCTTATAGAATATCTGAATCTTATATATATTTTTCATCGGGAATT